AGGCTGAAATCTCTTATCCTTCACTTTTTGAAAAGAGATAATGATGCTCGTTTCTCAGCTCAAAGAAATCATTAATGTGTGACACAGCCTTGAATGTGTGACACAGCCTTGAATGTAGGATATCAAAGCGCTTCAGAGTGCCCCCCCCCACCACCACCCACCCACCCACTAACGGGCACAACCACGTTAAGATGCCTGAGACATGAATTAATCAGCACACTGGCCTGCAACAAGGCAAGAAATTGTTGGCAGCATCAGTTTTTGTGAGAAATGTCTCATTTGAATCACTCCAGATTATAAATCTCCTTTCAAATCCTTCATCTCATTACAGGATCAGCATCTGATTAACTTCTGCAGATGTGCTGGTGGACGTGTTCCTTCTCTTTCACAGACGTGATAGGACTATCAGGGTGACATTAGTAAGTCAGATATGAAAAGGACAGGTTTGTGTAGTTCAAATGCAATACAATGTTGTAAAAAAGATTGCTATCAGCGTTTTAGCTATACAGATATTATCCCATTTAAAGAGTGTATCCTGAATACAAACCCATCCCTGGTAATATCAAAGGAACAAATCTCTATTTCATTGAATTTTACTTTTGTTCGTCAGACTCTCTATGTAGAGAGACATATCCCTGCAGCACAGGAAGCATCATTGTATTTCTTCTTGTTGGGTTATGGACCAAAATAAATGAACTGTTTTCCCATAGAGATCCAATAATGTGGAAATAGGTGGAAAAAAACTCTTGCACGAAGTCAAAACTTTACTGCACAATGCTGCACTGAGTTATTATCTTCTTGTTGGTTGGTTATTTTCTCCACCTCTATGTGAAAAATCCTTCTGGTGCATATTAGCAGTAGGTCCATGCCTTTTTTACTGCCAGAGAGCAGAGTTTCTCTGATGCTAGGTTATAGAAAAACCTCTGGTACTCAGCAGAGTTATTAAATGGCCTGCAATGTTCTCCTTCTTACAAGTAATACTTATGAGTAATACAAGAGTATAAAAGAGACCTATTATGGGTGATCAAATGTTCAGCAATTCATCTATGTTCACAATAGATGAATCCTAGCGTTTTCTGTTTTTACCACTTTGTGCAGAACGTGTCTTCTGAGGCAATAAATACTAATGACACACAGCAGCATGTCCCCCGCTGTCTCTCTGGCTTTTGTGTTTCCCATCAAAAGAATGAATGACCACTGATTTGAAGTTCAGCTGAGGTTTTTAGGATCAAAGCGCAGTACCCTGTGGAAAAAGGAACAATTTAGTTCACTAACTTTTTTCAGGTGTTGAGATTTTGTTAAAGAAAAAAATATCCCAGCTGCCATACTGTTTCAGAAGAAATGAATGTTAGAGCAGTTTTATAAAGACTATGCTGATTAATTATTGAAGAAAACAAACTCTTAATGGGGGTCCCCAGCGAGGGCAGTTCTAGGCAATGCCCCCCCCCACAAATGCTCAGCCTGCCCCACTGCCAAATATCCTCCTTTCACCTCAAGATTCAGAAATAGAAGTTTTATGTTTTTCCTCATTGATTCAACAGATCCCACTCTCTCTGTCCCTGATTTCTGACTCCACAGTCTTATCTCTCGAATAAAGGCATAAAAAGCCCAGAAATACTCATTTTAAAAACTCTTGACTTAGCATTCATTTAAATTGATATAATTTTTGGTATGTTTTAATTTTTGGTTCCACAAATGGCAGATGTTGTATTTGTATTTTGAATGATTATGAGGTTGACTAGTATTTTTGGATGAAATGTTTCAACAGCTACGTCTAGATTAATTGTTAAATACTCAAGATTTTAAACTATTATCAAGAAACCTTTCATCTCTCCACAAACCCTGACCCAAACTTTGTCAAAAACAAATAATATAAGAACCTTAGCTTTATTTTGTGTCGGACACTTCTCAAATGTTAGCAATGTATGCTAAACTCAGATAGTGCACATGGTAGATCTGGTAAAAAAAAAATAGCAGTATCATGCCTTAGTTATAACAGGTTTTATCTCCTAAAATAAAACCCCCATAGTTCTGAAAATAGTCCGCCAAAGAAACAACAATGATTTACTATATCCTCTCTGTGATGAAAATGTACTTTTTTTTAACATTTTGTTGAACACTACACTGCCAACCCTGTCTGGTAGCTAGCTACAAGTCCCAAACATGCAGTAGCCAAACTCTCTCATACACTCAAACATGGAAGTTTATTCTTGTAAATATGATTCTTGTGGATTGGGGAATTTTGCAGAATATGAGGTGTCAGAAGGGGCAGGGAATACCCAGCTCCACATCATATGTTAACCTGACAACAATTCTAACATTGTTGACAAGTTAACATGCTGACATTAGAATTTAGCTTAACACCACAGTTTAGCCTCAAAGAGCCGCTAGCATGTCTTTTGGGATGCTTTGGTGTTGAACTGTGAACTAAAGAAGAGCTTCTTCACATTCTTTGTTTTGAACTGCAGTAAACACTTAGTCTGTTGTATCCCCTTCAGAAGTCTCTTGAGCTCTCTAAAATGAATTAATGAAGAGCGTTTGTGACAGTGCTCTGAAGTTAGCATTATAATGGTTCTGTAAAGTGGTACTTTGCAAACATTATGCCAGCAGACTGTGAGATGGATCACACCACCATGATGGCCAACACACGTGTCAGCTGTGGTCAACAACAAGTTTTTAACATCCAAGTGTTCAGTCTCATAATAAAGACAATTCATTCTATCCTTGCAGCCGTATGAGCCAGTTCTAGCAGTAATGTGACGGAAAGCATGAATGCTAAAGCCATCTCTCAATTGTGTGGCCTGTTTGTTTAATCCATCTTCTGTGTCTGCCGGGAAAGTGGGCAATTTGCAAGTCACAAGTGCTCTTAATATAAAATGTTGAAGTAGGGTGGCTCATTCCCACATTGCATCCCCACCTTTCCTCCTTCTCTCCCACTTTTCTCAGTTTGAAGTGCTGGTCAGAGAGCTGTAACAGGAGTATCATTCACTGTAATGGTGGAGCGTCCTCCTCCACAGCCCTCACTTACATCACTTAATCCACTTCAGCAGTGCATCGCTGTGCTCTGTGTGAACACAGCACGTTCATGATGGGAAGTTAGACGGAGACCAACAGTGACCTGTCAGCTAACAGTAAAATGCGAGGCTAAGATATTTAGAGCCTTTGTTTCCCAGCTCACTTAATACGGATGTGGACTGAGCCTGCTTCAGTTTACAAGTCAAAATTTAAAACCTCTTTTTTTCAAGCTATACTTTAATGTGTGAACTGAGGACTTATTGCGATATTTGGAACCTTGTACATTTGTATAAATGCTGAACTTGTGATTCGTACATAAGATGTGGACTTTAACGTCATCATGACAACTTAGGCACAATGTCATTTAAACATCTTCTTTGAAGCCTCCTGTTTTGCATGAAATGCTCCATGTTAGTTTTATGGAGCCAGAAGTGACCATAATTGGGCTAGAGGGGTAAGCTTGAAAATGATTTAAGTGGAAATCTGAAAAAAGGAGCCTCCTCTCCAGCACCCTAGAGTAAGCTTTCCCCAAAAGGCTGAGAAGTGTGATACCCTGATAATTGGAGCTCACCCTCCGGTCCCCCTTTTTGAAAATGGGAACCACCACACCGGTCCGCCACTCCACAGGCACTGTCCCAGATTTCCACGCGACATTAAAAAGGCGTGTCAGCCAAGACAGCCCAACAATGTCCAGAGCCTTTAACATCTCAGGGCGAATCTCATCCATACCTGGCGCCTTGCCACTGAGAAGCTTTCTAACTGCCTCAGTGACCTCTGCCAAGGTTAGTGGTAAGGCTTCCCCTGGATCTTCAGACTGTGCCTCCTCTTCAGAGGACGTGTTGTCTGGGTTCCGGAGTTCCTCAAAGTATTCCTTCCACCACCCAACAATGTCCCCAGTTCGGTTCAGCAGTTCTCCACCCCTGCTGATAACAGCCTGGGGCAAGCCCTGCTTTCCCTTCCTGAGCCGTTGTACAGTTTGCCAGAACCTCCTTGAGGCCTACCGAAAGTCCTTCTCCAAAGCCTCCCTGAACTCCTCCCACACCCGGGTTTTTGCTTCCTCAACCACTGAAGCCACAGCCCTCCGAGCCACCCGATACCTGTCAGCTGCTTCCAGAGACCCCTGGGCTAACCAAGCCTGAAAGGCCTCCTTCTTCAGCCTGATGGCTTCCTTCAGCCCGCTGGTCTCCACCAGCGGGTTCTAAGGTTGCCGCCACGACAGGAACCGACGGTCTTCTGGCCGCAACTCCTAGCCGCAGCTTCTACAATGGAGGCTTTGAACATGGACCACTCGGACTCCATGTCCCCAACCTCCCCCGGGATGAGGGAGAAGTTCTTCCGGAGGTGGGAGTTGAAGACCCTATGGACAGGGGCCTCTGCCAGACGTTCCCAGTTCACCCACACTACACGTTTGGGTTTGCCAGGTCTGTCCGGCATTCCCCGCCATCTGATCCATCTCACCACCAGGTGGTGTCCCAGTATTGGATTGAGCCCAGATCTTTTATACAGACAGTGTATTTAGTAACATACTTGTTGTCTGCTAAGACTTAAGATGATTCAGACACAAGTCTAAAATTCACAAGTAGGTTAAGACAATCAGAGGGGTACCTCAGTAGATTTTGATGTAAATCTGGAATTGAGAAGTAAACAAATCAAAGAACAAACTTAAATCTGTCGTTTTTAGTTGTTTTGCAAATGTTGAGAATTGGGGATTGAAATATGTCGATGACTGCAAACAGCTCATGTTCAGTCAGGAACATTTTGTGCCTTTCAATAGGGAGGAATCTTCCCTGCATCACTCCATCCGATCAACAGTCCATGTTTAATGTCTGCTATACATGATCCCACTCAATAAATACAGTCATTTCATAGACTGAAGGAAATAAAAGCCCAGCAATATTTGTTGATACAATTAATACTTTATATTTAATCATTCAAATGTTTTGGATTATTATTTGGGTTGGAAATGAGTCTCGGACAAAGATAAATCCACACAATAATTTAATAAAATCAATCACAGACTAGAAAAAGAGAGCAAAGGCTTTTAGTATTGAAGAGGGGGGAAGCTCAGCTATCAACAGGAGGTTTCTATCCTCTTAAAGATGAATCATTACATGTTTAATCCAACACACCTTCATGAGTTCAGTCAAGCTAAATGCTCTATACATCATTATTGTACATAATACCATTTGTCAGCTTATTTTAGCCAGCTAGCTGTTAGCAATCAGTGGAGATGAGTTACAGAGAGGTTGACTTTCGGAAATTATAGCAAGTGTAACCAAAGTGTTTATATTTTTCCATTATACGTGGGGATGCAGGTTGCACTATATGTAAGACTCATTCAGGAGCGGAAATCACAGCTGAGCGAGTCAGTGACAGCAACATGAATGAATTGTCATTTGAATTTGAAAGCTGCAGCTAACACACCAACACATAATAAGGCAAACACTGTGAGAAACAAACAAATATCATGACCTGTCCGTCAGAATGTACAACGTCAATGTGTGTAGCTGTCGAAGAAATGACAGAAATATCAGTCATAGCAGTGAAAACTGTCATGGAGTCCCTTGGAGGTTTTTCTTGCTTTGCTTTTCAATCTCTCCCTCTACAGTCACACTAGTGCAGTTATCGTCAACTCAAACAGAAATCTGTCTGTATGTTACAGACATTAAAAAAAGAGTGTTCAAAAGAACTGTCAACCTTTAACTATGCTTCTACTCGGCATTTGAACTTTCATTTCCAGTGTAAGACAATATCAAGCTTTAATTCAGCACAGAGCTTCCAGACATGTTCAACGGATAGAAAACAGTGAGAAGTACTTCAAAGTGACCCAGACTAACCCAAATATCTAGAAGTATTAATACCTAACAGTACAATACAACAGGTAGGTAGGTGTCGGACAGATTAGTGCTCATCATTAGCATTTCTCCTCGGACACATTTAGAAGTGGTCCATTTGGTCCAGTTGATCATTAATAAGTCAGACAGATGGTGTCATAGTTAAAGCAAAGAGGAGGGAAGTACTATATTCAAGCATAGACCACGTTTAATCCTTTCAATGTTCAAATCACTGTCAGACATCGTTGTTGCCGTCTTCTCTTTCTGGAATAAAAAAACAGCATGTCTTTAATCTCAAAGGCTCGCAAACTGAGAGTTGGAAAAGCAACTTCAGCGATTAAAATAATAATACGTGATCTTGGTTCATCACTAATCGCTACCAGCGATGACCAGTAATTCTGACTCACAAGATCAAGAAAATGTAGTAACACAGTTTCAAATGTTTGTATCTTTAACTTCCTGTAGATGAATGTCACTCGGGCGTGGGGTTGTAGATATTTACCGTAAGAGCAATTCAAAAGTAACAAGAACAAAGCTTGAAAGCAAAAACAAAAGTGGTGTTGAAGAAAGGTTGCTTCAGAATCTTCTTGCTAATGGCAACATGCTTCAAATAGTCAGATTAAAACAGCAGCTGCTATGAAAAGTGTGTTTCCCCTGCATGTGCTCAGAAAAGCAGGCCAACAAAGAGGAGTTTGGTCCCAATTTTTCTCAAGTAGACAACTGATGTCAACCTGACTGACTGGCATTTTTTTTAATTCACTGATAAATGAAAGTTTTTACTGTAATTCATCTTTGTCCAGCTATGTACATCTAAAAAACAAACAGAAGATTCCATCTTCGCCTCTGTGTCGTTTATGAAACGGAGCCAGAAGTAGCATAAAGGCACTGAGTTGTTTCTACAAGCCAACAGAATCAAATCCAGGAGAAATCATTAGCATATTGTCGACTGCTTGTTTTTGGTTTTGTTTTTTTTCCACATAGGATGTCAAAAAATTCCAGATAAAAAAAAATCCAGACTGGGAATGGGAGCTGGTTGACCTCCAAACACCAAACAGACAGCTTTAGAGAAACTTGTCAGACAGAATACAGTGAGCGTCCACAGGAGTCTGAGCTGAGGGCAGAACCAAGAGCAAAGGTCAGAGTGTAGTGAGGGCACCGAGGGCGATCCTGTTAGTTTGTTCCATACTCACAGAATCAAAACACACACACGCACAAACACACACACACACAAAGGAAGACTGAGCAAATGTCTTACTCGAATTATGACAAAAAAAACAAGTATTTCTGATTCAATACAGTAAGTAGAACATTGATACTAAAAGTAACAGAGGAATTGGTAAATAAAATGTCTGAATCACATCTGAGGAGTAAATGAGTATACAGCAAGTAGCATGTACACTTAGCTTAGCATAAAGACTAGAAACAAAGAAGAACAGCTAGCTTGACTCTGGTTTAGGTCAAACTCATCTTACCACTTTGTAAATTAGTAAACATTTTATATCTGTAAAAAAAAAGACAACTAATATGACAAACATTATAAGAGATTTAATGTTTAGTTACCAAACCTATGTCTTGTAAATGTGTCTTAACTTGACAGCACAGATATGCTGAGTCATATTTTCTGGATAGATTCAGAAGTACTGATTTAAAGAAACACAACAAAGAAAAAAATGCAATGACATTTAAAAAAAGGCAGATTTGGTATGAGCAGAGGTATTAACATACAGTACCTGGAGACAGGACATGAATACAAAAATGGGCTTTACTGCCTTAAGATCACTTACGAATAAGAGCTGTTCAGCTCAAACAAAAAGCAGAAAAGGCAATCAATTGAACCCACATTTCCACAGGATATTGAATTTGGCCTCAGATAGATCTATTTTTGACCATATGGTAACAAGTTCATAATGGCTCTACATTTCTCAGTTAAGTTGTAATTAAGCACAATAATGGGAAGGGTATTATGTCAGGATGTAGAAGAAAACATTTTTGGAGGGAAATGACTAGAGCCCCTAACCACTGCAACTTATTCTCCATGATATTTAGATGAACCACATGGTAACACTGTAAAGCCTTTGTCTTTTTAGTTGAGTATTTATATGTAGTGTAAAAAAAAATGAGTATAGCAGAGGCTGAAACGTGTACAGGAATGCTACCTGGTAATACAGTTACAAGATTCAGTGCACATGTACTCATCCTCACAACAACAAAATGTCACTCTGTAAAAAAAAAAGAACAAAGAAAAATCTGTGTGCTTGATTCTGCTTGTTTGTTTTAGTCCACAGCCAGTTAAAACACCATAAGGTCACTGTCCCAAAGTCTGGTTAGTTCCGTTCGAATCCATTTTCACGTGTGATAAAAGCTGCACATAGGTAATGGAGTCATCAGCATTTAGATGATCAAAGCGCTCCTAGTAGTTGACCTCGTAGACCGTCGCTTTCTTGTCTCCAGAGCCCGTCACAATGTATTTATCATCGATAGAGATGTCACAGCTGAGCACTGACGATGACTCTTTAGACTGTAAAGAGAAGAAAAGTGGTGTTGAGAAGTGAAATGTGTTGTGGCGCTGTTGTAGCTCAGTCGGTAGAGCAGGCGCCCAAAGTACAGAGTCTTCAGTCCTCATCGCACTGGTCACAGGTTCAACTGTCGGCCCTGTTTGCTATTTTGTTCATTTCACCCCCCCTACTCGCTCCACCCACCTTTCCTGTCACTCTCAAAGATGTCCTTAAAAAATGATAAGCCAAAAAGATACACTCAAAAAGAATTAAAAAAATAAAATGACCTTTTGAATTTCGAAACGATGAAATCCTTAATTAGGGTCAAAATGTCACTCCATCTAGGATCTGATGTTTGACACATCTAGTTATAATTAAGAAACATACTGGGGCACCGGTGGCGTGGTGGTTGGTGCAGGCGCCCCAGTTGCAGAGACTGTAGTCCTCCAAGCGGGCGGCCCAGGTTCTTTTATTTTTCTGTGTTAATGTCTATCCCTAAACAAGTATACCATATTTACAACAACATTTAGATCAGGAACAGATTAGCTGCTCTGTTTTTCTAGTTTAAAAAGTGAAGTGCAGTCACACACTCTGTCCTCTTTTTTAGAGACCCTGCTGAAGACTCCTTGTTCACATTTCTGTGTCCTTGATACACAGTGATGTCCAAGAGGACTCAGCTACATTTTTTCATTTCAAAAAATTTCAGATTTTGCTGTATTCACTCTTTTCTCCTCATGTTTGCAAACCTTTCACCATCTCTCCTGTCTAATAATTTCAACTTCTTTGGTGACCTTCCTCCCACAGATGTTCACAGTCAGAGAGGAGAAAGGTTTTCAATGTCTTGCTCTGAGTTATTTCAACAGAATTATTAGGCTGTGCACTGTTTGTCCTCTCAGCTGCATGTCATCCATGTTGATGTTTTGGGATGTCTGCTCACCTGGAATATGCTGGCTCCATATGGAGTTCTCCATGCGTTGAGCAGATTGTCTTTCCCCGTGCTAACAAACCACTTCCCTGCAGAGGAAGGAAAAACTTCCATTAAGAAAGGTTAGGGAAGAAAATTCGCCTCAGATTTCTAAACACAATCTGCCCAAACTTGCTGCAATAAGAACTCAACGTTGACTGAGCTATTCACTCCCACATTCAAACAGATTATGGTACCAGATTAAAAAAGATACCCCAGTAAGTATTCTTTGTCTTTGTAAAGCTTCGGCTAAAACAGGAGTTATGCAGATTTTGGTGTAGATACAGGTTTAGAGTTTTTGAAGGAGCGATATATTTACACACAAAAAAAAAGCTATTTGGATGTGATGTCACATAAGGGAACAAGCAGACAAGCTAAGTGGAGTTCATTTAATACATTTGGATCCCCATGCAGTTTATAAGAGGTTAAAAATGTACACTTGGCAGCTGAAGAAAGTAGTCACGGTTCATTAATTAAATATCATGACTTTACTCATTAAGGTGAAACTGTATACATTAAACAATTTATCTCTACCTTGATGTTATTAAAATGCTGCTTGTATAAATGCACAAGTAATACTTTAGAATACACAACACAACAGTGAGAGGGGTTTATCTGGCAGAGGGAGTACTATTACTTCAGTTTACTCATGTTTTTTTAACAGAAAACTAATGCATTTAAGCAGCTTTCCCAGCTTTCTTTCTCTGTTTTATTGATTAGTCCTGTATGATCGCTGCCTTCTCTGGCAATAAATATCATATTTGACATTTTGTTTCTCCAGTCTCACTATCTACACACAAAAGCCTCATTGAGTCACATCCACATACTGTATCTTTTCACACTTAGAAACCTACTAGAGTATATTTTCATGCACAGTACCAGTCACCATGATTCTTTTGATCAACAAGCACATTTCTCAAAGACTTTGGAGTGTTTAAGAAAATGACTGGTCAGAACAAAATTGAAGACAGCGTTGTCTTAACTGATGGGTGAGCTCTTACCACAGTGAGCGAATCGGAGTGACAGCACGCAGCTTTCATGCAGGTGGAGCTGGTATTTGTCAGGTTTGGTGACATGCAGGACCTCCACGTTATTGTTCTCCATTCCCACCGCCAGCCACTCGCCCGTCGGACAGTATCCGAGAGAGAAGATCTGCGACCCAATGAAACGGTCAATGCATTTATACAGCTTATAATTCATATAAATACAGCACATAATCAATTCTGACAGCATATCAGTCCCTTATCTTTATATGTGCATGAGGATTGTGTGTTTCTGTCTGGGTAGTGTCTGCTGTTATTAACATATATATGGATGCTTCCAAAAATTCACCGTATGCTATTATAAACATTTCAGTCCCTGACATACTTATCTGGGAAAAACAGGTTTGTAAATTGTATTAAATATGCAACACTACTTCCAGCATTACTGTTAAAAAAAACTAATTATACACCATAATATGAGTTGGAGGTATAATTTAGCCACTTGTACTTTTTTGAAACAAGTAATAATGATATTTTCCAGATGAGAGCAAAAAGGGGAGGGGGGGGGGGTTGTGAGCCTGTGAATGTGTGGAGGTGTTAGGGCAGAAATTATTGGATAGCCTAAGTACTCCTTTGGTCATTTTCTCTCTGTGTGCCCTGCCCTCTGTGATCCCTCTCTTTAATGCACACTCACCTCCCCCCTGTGCACACTGAGATTGTGAAATGGTGCGTTTTAGGAAAAATTGCAGTAATGGTCTATTATTGCCATTGTCCTCCGCACCTGAAAACCCTGAATTCTAACTGCCAGTATTATATTTGTTCACGGGAATTTGAACATGAGGAAGAAAGCTAGAGCTCAGTCCGACCTTCATTGTGGGTTAAATGATCTGAACTGAGCTTGTAAATGACTGCAATCCAGGGAGAAAGTGAGAAATCACACAAACTGCAAATGACTGCAACTTGTCCTGAGACACACGTTTTAAAAGAATATGTCTTTTAATATGAACTTAAAATAATTACAAAAAGCCAAACCTGTTTGCAACTTACCCCTGCTGCAGACTACAAAAGGAACTTAACAAATTCATCACTACAGCTATTCTTAGACAAAGAAGCTGAAGCATACAGACGGTGACATCAGCAGGTCAAAGTGAAGCTGGTTGGTTGAAGTGTTTGAGCTTAAGAAGGTATGTGCAGTTGCAGTATTTATAGAAAGGATTTGTCTGGATGTAAGATGTGTGTTGTGCACCTGGGAGGTGAAGTCGTGCTGTTGCAGCTGCCGTCCCTCCCTCAGGTCCCAGGACCGCACGGTGTTATCCAGACCTCCAGTCCAAAGCTTGGTCCCATCATTAGAGATGTCTATGCAGCTGGCCCCATCGGTGTGGCCCTGGAACTGTCTGTGGAAAAACACAGTCAGACAAACCAAATAGATCAATGGACACATAACAACTGCACATTATGAAGAAAAATGTACAAATATCTGCACCATATATCTTCTAATGTAAGGTATATTTACTGCATCACTTGCACTTTGTATACTGTGCCAGCTGCAGGTTATAATTGCTAGATAATTTGGCTAATGCTCGTCTGCTTTACACTACCCCTGGCATACAAAATATTTTGCCATTTCATCAGAATGTTTATTTTGAGTTAAAAAATGTATTGACACATCACACAGCGGAGCGTCTTCTGAAGTAAAATGTTTGTGGAATAAATCAGATCTTTCAATCATCACCAATCAAACCCGACACAAATCCCCATCCGCAGCTCCATACCTGACCAGAGTCTGGTTGTGAAGATCCCAAACGGCGATGTTTCCGTCGGAGCAGCAGGAAAAGCAGACCTTGGAGTCTGGGCTGATGGCCAGAGCGTAACACGCTGGTGCTGATGAGGTTAGTTCAGCTTTGATTCGCGGAGTTGGTGTGGCCAAATCCCAGATTGACAAAGTACTCGCCTCGCCCCCGACAATTAGAGTCCGCCCATCGGGAAGAAGTCGACAGGAACGGATGTAGTTGTCTCTGTTCTGATGTTGCGGTTACAAACATTATTATCGATAAAACATTTCATCTGTACTGATGAGGTATTGTGTGGGGTCATTGCACTCACCAGGCAGTCCAGCTGGGATACGGGGGTCTTGTTGCCGGGGTGACTGATGTCCCACACCTTGACGCAGCCCTTGCCGCCAGTGTAGACGTGACGCGTGGGGTTACTGATGGTGACAGCACAGACCACCTCCCCGTGGCTCAGAGTATTGATCTGCCGAGCGTGGCGAGGAATGCCAGGGCCGATCAGCGAGTCGGGAGGAAAAGGCACCGGCTGCATTTGTCCATCAGCGCTCACATGAAAGGAGTATGCTCTAAGAGGAGGGTAAGGGTCATGGGGAGGGATGAAGGGTGGGTAGAAGAGGAGTGGTGGGAGTCCAATGTTACAAAGAAGAGGGATATGAACATTGATTAATGAAACGTGGCTGTAACTGTGCTCTTTAGAAACAGGGTGAGGATACATACGGTTTTCCACCAGGAATGCCTGACAGGTTTGGAGGAAGTCCAGGGACACGTATGTGGTGGTGAGGATCAAAACCCACCTGGAGCACAGAAACAATCAAAGAATAAATACATTAGAAAAAAACACACCTTTGTAAGTAAAACTCTTATCTCTGTCTCATAGCAAAAAACGATTTATAAATAACAGAAATTCATGAAAATAAGACATGGACCAGCTTTTGCAGCCGTCATTATATGAGTCCTAATTAAATTCTCCATGTTTTTCTAATCTATTTATCAGTTCTTCTAACTACACCTAAAATATTGGTCCTTCTACACTTTAAATTTCTGAAACAATTTCAAAATAACCAAATGATAAACGCTCCATCAGAAGGCAAGGATAACAATGCTTTAACATGACATAAACTGTCATTTCATTTTAATCCACTTCATTGTGAGGGCAGTTGTCTTGTGCATGGTTATCAGTATTGACCAGTTAGTTGCTTTATTTGTATACATAATATGTTAGTGCTGATGTGTGTTTGCATACCACTTGTGTGCGTCCATAAGCTGCCACAGCAGCAGCAGCTACTGCGCTCATCTGTGGAGAGATACTGTGCAGACCGGTGTAGGCCGCTCCTGCTCCACTCAGCTCTCCATTCATACCCGGGTGGGGAACCATCCCAAACGGACTCGGGTATGAGCAGGGCACTGCCAGAGGTGTACGAAGACCAGGTGCTACAAGACAAAAGATTTTTTTCAAACATGTGACATACGCATCAGATGTAAGAGTGCCTACTTTATCCATCTGCCTATGCTGGATTATAGTGATGATGTTTTTTAAGCGTCCAAAATAATACCATTGAGTTAACCTTTATCCAAAACTAACCAAGGGTCTCAATTCCTGCTGGTTTCACAGGTACAGTCCTCAGGCCTGGGGTGGAGGTGCTGCTGGGTGTCAGGGCATCCGAGCGGGAGGTGGGGGTGCTGGACTTGGACACAGGCGTTGTTGGCTTCTCGTTCTTAAAAACAAAACGGCAAAGTAATCACAAGAGGTGTCAAAACTGAAAATTATGGATCTATTGTCGCAAGAAAACTTTTGCAAATGCATTCACAGATCTATAGAGGGTATCCACGTGTCATCACAGTAGGCAGAGTCGCTGCAGTTTCAGCCACTGAGTGGCATGAAACTCGTATGGCTAACAGGCATCAGAAGGGAGGAAGCAGTAAACGGCTTTAATTCAGCTGAAAATTGTCGTCTTTTCACAAATTATTTATTGACAATGTTTTCTGCAGGCAATGTAGATCCTCAGCTGATGGAACATGTTTATGTTATCAAATCCACGGGACGACGCCTTGCAGTTACAGTAACACATAATATACATCACATCACAGAGCCTACAAACAGTCAGTGATGAATATAATCTGACCCCACCTCCATTCTCCCTCCCCTACCTATTTGTTTGATTCAAGGAAACTTATGAGCTTGAATTTCAGAAGATTAATCATATAGTAAAATAACAATGATGACTCTGCATCTAAAGACAACAGATAATGTACATTTGCTTAGACATATATCCTGCAAAGTTCCAACATGGCTGATTTTAGACCAACGTATAAAAAAATAGTTTAGTCCATATATATATTTATCACAGAATGAAATAAGTCAATTCCCTTGACTACTTTTTGTCCAAATAATTAAGTTGTATATTTTTCATGAAGTAAACATAGCCTACCCGTCTATACTACTCTATGTGTGTAGTTGTCATTTCAGAAATCAACAGGAGGCCATGACAGTTTATCAGATGGTGAAATCAAGCTAGCTTAAACTCAAAGAAAGTCTGGCTGAAGATGAATTGACTTTCTATACATCCCTCTGTTGTGCGATTGACTGTACAAACAGATTCAGCAAACACAGAATGATCTCTTTACAGGCCACCTGAAGCTAAAGCAAAGAGAAACGACTGGCTCCCTATACCCTGACTACAAAGTTTACTCAGTTTCACTTCCATCACTAATCGAACTGGTCTGATCAATGCCTTTAAGCTTTGCTTTGTGTTCTTCCCCAGCTTTGAAATCAGGTACATATAAATGTCAAGAAACCAGATCTTTGGCCAAATGTCAATGTCCATTGTCCGCTGTGTCTTTAGTAAACTGTAGGGATCTCTGTCCGGTTTTGATGTCCCAATTTAAACACACATTCATTTTTACTCCTGTTTTTGTTGTTTTGACATCCAGTGCAACTGAGTGGGCGTGGTCCCTTTGGAAAAGTGACGTCAATGCAATACAGGAACCACTCATGCTTTGACAGAGTTTATGACTCATAAGAGAACAATTCACAAGATGTATTGATTGTTGCTTTCAGAACGTGATATGATGCAGTGTGTTTGACAACATGATGCACTTCAGTCACATTTGGTAACAGTTTGCTTCCTAACCTTCATTATTTTTCTATATATATACCGTACTAACCCTGGTGACATTTTAGAAATACGTTGAGATAGAAAAGCACTTTGAGATGAGCAAGAACAAGAAGATCAAAAGATCTAGAGTTGCCTAAATGACTCACCAAATTAATCTCTTTGGATTTGGATGAAGGTGTGCTGCTGGAGGAGGCAACGGAGGAAGGACTCAGAGGAGCATCCTTCTTCAACAGACGACGCTTGTCCAATCCATTCTCTCGAGGTGAGTGGGCGGGACTTCCTCTGGGAGATGTTGGATCCTGTGGTGGGTGAGCAAAAAGAAAAGACAAAGATAAGATAGAAAAATGGATTTATTTTTCTCCGTTTACAGGAATTACAAAACAAGAAACTTTTTCAATTAGTTGAACTGAACTCTACCTCATTGGAGACGTCTACGACGAGGTTGTCATCACTCTTCTCTCCATCACTTTCCTACAAATGGACACAAAATGTAATAAACATCCGCAGTTCAAACTACGTATAAATAAAAATGCATGAAGATGTCATCTGCTGTGGATTTTGTTTGATTTGGAAATGAACAGACTTCAGTGTTTTTTTTTGTTGTCACAGGGGAAAAAAACCATCTCTTCTACGATAAGCACTGCTATCAAATTTAATATCCCATTTATTTGATCGACAATAAAACTAAATGAACATATAGTCATGAAAAGGGTCGTCATAAAAATCAATGATTTAATTAAAACCATAAAGACTGTTTTAAGCATTCCTCTGGCATCATTCCTTTTTGTATTTTACATTTTTAATTATAAGATAAAGCGATCAAAACGGTTCCATTGAGGGAAATCCAGATGGCTCTTCTGGCTGAGTTACAAGACATTAACTGGAACATAAGGAGTTCAATTCAGAGCTACAACCTTTGCCATGATAGATACCGTAGCTCTATTTGTCATCTCTGTAGTTTTATATGTGGCCTTTATGAATCCACATGGTGCCTGTTAGGCTATCTTTGCTTTCTTGATTTCATATTAGAAATGTTACACTATTGTCTCTTTAAAGGGTACATATTATGAAAAATCCCTTTTACAGTGTTTTTGAACATATATTTGGGTAACCTGAGTGTCTACTGACCCACAACATATGAAATAAATCCATCCAGTCCTTTGTTTGTAGTCTGTATAAGTCTTACAACACATACTGTCTTACAACACAGAGAAAACTGCTGTTTCAAATTTTCTCAGGTTGTGATGTCACAAGTTCGATTATGGTAAAAAAAAATCCCCTCCCCTCCCCTGATACCTCAACCCATGGACTCCACCCCCAGCCTAGAACAAAACTTTTGCACAGGTCTGCCAATTTTATTCACGCTACAGAGGAGCGATGTCTACCAGGAATACTCAGGGGGGGCTCGTTGCATTTAAAGAGACACGCACACCTAAACAGAGCGTTCTGAGAGAGCTGGTTTATACAGGGTCACAAACCTCCTCTGGTGCTTGATTCATCTTACATTTTGACCAAAGCACAGCACAGATGTTTCATTTAGACCACAGGGGACTGTTTGAAAAGGTAGAAAGGGGTAGAATATGTCCTCTTTAAATGGTGAAAATTTGACTCAATTATGACAAAAAGTGTTGCTACTGTAGCTATGACAATAAAAGAGCCGAATGCTCTCAAAACAATCAAATAAGTTATTCCTCTTCATGATTTTTTTAAGAAACAATATGTTCTAAAAAAAAAAAAAACATGTAAGGTTAGAAAGTCAGAAAGGTCAGATTTATTTGTACTCACAAATCGTGCGGAGGCCAGCTCCTTATCATCTGTCTTCAGTTTTTTGCTGTCGGAGGAGTAATCGTTTGAACTCCGGTGCTTCTCTCCAGCACGAAAACTTGCCGAGGGAGACACAGACGAGCTCTGCAGTAAACAAGAATCATAGAATTTACAAGGCAATGAAAAAATATTTCACTCTAAGAAAGACAAGAGCTACAAACTGAGCTGGGTTAGCATTTTCAAATGTCTCTGAAGGAAAGACTCACTTTACCTGCACCATTGACATCTTTATTTCATAGAAACTCTTCCATAAAAAATGTTTTTCTGAACATTCATTTTCCAGAGAAAAAAAAATCCCACTGTCAACAGTTGACACTATATTCTGTGAATTATTCTGATGAAGGAGAATTTGATGCATCTTATAAAATTGAACATACATTTATTAAAGGAAATTCTGAGCAGAAACGGTTCAAAGCTCATTTGAGGAAATTACTGTTTGTGTCCAATGTCCCTGAAAACAAAGCAGTACCTTTTATTGTTTTGCTGATCTTGTCCTGTGCACGTGTTAGTAGTGTTGTTGTGACTAAAAAATCTGTATACTGCTCTCTTTCACCAGTGAAATACATCACTGGTTTTGAAGCTTTGCTGTGGAGAATACTTCTACAGTGTGCTGTACATTATCTTATCTGACACCTACCCTGTGTCAGTGTTTACACACATACATAAACTACCATGTGGAAATAGTGAATCTTGTCACTGTTGGTCTTGGTTTGCATTTGTTGGTCATACAGGGGCATCACTATTCATTTCAGTGTGTTTAATAACCAGTTAAAAACTCCCCACAGGGGCTCAAATTGAAAATGTAATACAGTGAATCAAATACACAACTGGAAAAGTTTGAAATACCCAACGAGGAGCCGCTAAATTAATCTGTATAGTCTGTTGTAAATGAATGCAATCTGAGTAAAGAACCTGCATGACATGGTGAAGAACTGCTCAGATTTTTCTTTCCTTTTCAAAGACCTCTAAATGTCGAGGAGATTACTGATGTCTAATTCCCAGGACAAGGTTGAAAAAATGATAAGCTATAACTTAAACGCTTCAGATCTTTTGTATGTGTCAAGACTTCCACTTTGAGCTAAATTAGGACAAATCTGGCAATAAGTGAACAGTCAGACAGAGAAATATCTGTGATCCACTCCTCCTCCGCTGGGTTTAAACATCACTTTAAAAACTCTTCTGCCTGTCAAAACCATTTTATTTTTCCTGTATTGCACAAAACCAAAGCTGTACTGCATCCTAGACAGCCTGATTACTCCACCGTGTGTTGAACTCAGCGGCATTATGTTGAAATCCGGCAAAGACAAGTTGCTGCATTGATGTCTCTCTTTGCTTAATCAAATATGGCACCCTTTAAATACCAATACTGAAGTATTAATCCTCTTTGAGGAGCAAAGATCAAAATAAGGTCAACTAACCATTTCCCCTCTTGGTCTGCTTGTCCCTGCTGATCTCTCTCTCCCCCCCCCCAGCCCTCCCCTCCCTCCTCTCTCATTGGGAGGCGCTCCTTACCCCGCAGACGATGGACGGAGAGAAGAAAAAATATAGCAGGACCTTTAACTCGACCTTTCCTCTTACTCACGCTTGCAACCTTTCTACTGCCCTTTGCCGTGCTGCAAGTGTTGATGACAGAGATTCTGTGGGGGAGGAGGTTCACTTCTCAGTGTACGCGTGCGCGTGTGTGTGTGTGTGTGGTCGGGCAGCACTTATTCCTGTTTACATTTAAGTCCTGCGTATCTGCAAACAATGTTGGGGTGTTGGTGTGTTTACAGGTGTGTGTCTCTTCTTGAGTGAAATGAAGCAGGCTGATCCTCTCTCTCAGACTGATTAGGTTAATTAGCCTGCAAATTAGCTTTTTCAAAAACATCAAGGCAAATTAATTTGGCTGCAGAGACAAATGAAGGCTCCGCCGGCAGTACACGCATTATGGGTGTGAAGAAGCGTGCAGTGTCGCAGGGTGAAAGCATTCATTTCGCAGCACATCTTAATTATATTTACCTCCTGTTTCAAATTGATTCTGCGATTCCAGATAATGATCCCTGTAACCTCCTCTGTTGAACAAACAATCTGACTCTTTGGAGTCTCTGCAGTAATGAGAGGCCCAGACTGACCACAGCTTCTCTTGTTTGTGTGAATGTTGTTGAGCAGCATGAAGTCAAGGCCAGCAATCCTCAAGGTAGAAGTTTGTGCTGCATTACAGATTAAAAACAAATGAGAGGAGCATCAGCTCATATAAATACCAATGACTGACTCAACCTGAATAGTAATTCTCTGCACTTCTGCTGTTTAGTTCCATGTTATTTCTAAGCACAAGAATTCTTCTAATGTTGTTATGTTTTTTTTTTTTAAAGATTCCTTTTTGGGGCTTTTTGGGCCTTTATTTGAGAGATAGGAGAGTGGATAGAGTTGGAAATCAGGGAGAGAGAGAGAGAGAGAGTAGGGAATGACATGTGGGAAAGGAGCCACAGGTAGGATTTGAACCTGGGCCGCCCGCTTGGCAGACTACAGCTCCCAACATGGGGCACGCGCACTAACCACTGCACCACTGCACCGCCAGCACCCCTAAATTTAGGTTTAATTTGTTTCTCATTCAATTTTACTTTTAATCCAGCCGGTAATTCAAAAGCTACAAGCCTGCTTTTCCAGCCATTCTGCACGAAAGGCGCTCTCGGTGATGATGTCACAGCCCCACCTTTCATCTGTTCTACTCACCACATGTTGTTTAAAGGAAGAATGTGTAACATTTAACACATAAATGAAGCAGAAATCAAGTATATTATCTGTAAATGTCTCTCTGAATCATGATTGTCTACAATGAGCGAGTAGCGTGACACCTGCCGGCCATCATGTTTACACTGACGGGACGGCCTTGAGTATAAAGCTGTTTTAGTCAAGGACTAGAGAAAAGAAGAATAGCCTACTCATTGCTTATTTGGATATCATGAAAGTGTGTTTAGATCACGGTCATTCCGTGTCAGAAATGTACAATGTGAAGCTACAAGTAAACCAAAGTGTGCTAACATTATCCTGCTAACACAACAATGCAGGCCACGGGCAATTACAGCTCGAGCAAAAGACAGTTTTGTCCGCCGCATGTGCTTAATGGTGCTTTTATGGTGCGCTCTTAATGATTACTTTCGAGTTGGGGGGGGTTGGAGGTGTGCTGCTGGAGGAGAGCAGAGGCTTCAGAACAGCAGAGGCGTGGCCAAACAGCTGTTTATTTTGGTTTAATGCTGGTGCTCAAGGGCAACATCTACTGGATCATAAAGTCACACATTCTTCCTTTAAGCAATGTGAAGTTGTGTTTAAAGTAGGGTTAATTATAATAAATTACAACTATTAATCCCATTTTTAGTGGCATGTTTCTGATGCTGACAGCCCTAGTTTAGAGTTAACTGTTCATTGTTAACTAACCTGTCTGAGTCACCAGTTGTGTGTTGAGTGCTTTAATGTCCATACACAACAATAAAACCTCACACACGCAGCCGGTACAGATACACACACGCACTCAGCAAAGCCGGAAAAACTGCTTCACTGGTGTTCTTGGCATCACCAGAACAACACTCGCCATTCAAACCCAGCATTACTCTTCACCTGGTCCCCACCAACACTTTCGACAATAGCTGCCTCTAAACTTCTAACTTGTTTAAACAACCCAACAGTCAGAATAATAAATCACAGTTCTTGACGAAAACACAGAGAAATGCGATATGATATTGTGCATAGAAGTGAACATGTCTAGTTCTCACCCCTGCTTTTTTCTCAGGTTTGTGGTGCCAAGATGGCTGACAAGTGCCAAAAGTGCTCAAAAATTGACATGTGAACATCTTCATTACCATGTCAACAGGGCAAGAGACCGATAAGACTGAGTGGTTCCACGACAGCAAATTCAGCCTTTGAAGCAACATTTTCAACAGACAGCATTCACAACTCTTTTTTTTTTTTGCACATTACATTTTTACTTTGGTTCTATTCCACTTTTCTTTTCCTTCCCTTGTCGAGAAATCCCCAGTTTGCTTTATGTTGCTTGGAGTAAGATAGATTTGTCTCCTATTTGGAAATCCAGCATTTTATTCTCTTGGTTTCACAGCTTCTTGCGCTTGCTCACCCACAAATAAGATGCCTCTGTTCACACAACAAAAAAACTTTTTTCACTCTGTGTTTACAAGTCAGTTGGTCTGCTCTATAACCTCTGATCCCTCAGTCCAACTCAATTTTCTCTTATTATGCAGTCCACACAGCATGAGGGCCAGATTTGACACCATACAGTTTTTTTTTAAAAAGCATCCCAGCATTAACAGAGAGAATAACTGCGGCAGTAGCCAATAAAAACCCAAGACACACAAGAAGCCTGCTCGCTACTGCCACATTCATGCTGACAACCGCTACAGTATGTCAACTTTCAACAGATGAATCATTTCAAAGCTCTCTATAAGATAGAAAGCAGCCTCATTTCTAAACAAACTGTGTATGAGCAAGGATGTAGATGTTTGATTTTTGCTTCAGTGATCAAATTTTAGGTCAATGCATTTTCCAAGTAAAATATCCTTTATAATTGAATTGAAATAAAACTGTGGCCTGAAAACTAGACTGACAACAGAAATGTAAAAATACACCAAACAGCACAAACCTATGACAGTCCTAACAGGCCAGAGGAGGCAGAGTCCTTGAACACACCACAACTCCATAACTGACTCTCTGTATTGGCATCAATAAGTATGTGGACACACATGTCCGTCTACACCCACATACCTTTATCAGTGTGTGAGGTGCTAATGCCAAGGCACAGATGTTCAAGCAAATAACACACACCAACAACACACACTGTAACCTGTGTGGACTGTTGCCAAGGCAACTGTAGACCACTGACAAGGGGCTTATTGGTTTTATGAAGTGACTGTTGGCCGCGCGTGTGTGTATGTGTGTGTGTTCTCACAGGGCGCTAATGAAAGGCATTCATCAATCTGCTCTCTGTATCTTTACCACTGTGTCGGATGATCAGACACATGCACACACACTCTCGACACACACACACACACACACACACACACACACACGCACGCACGCACACTGCTAATCGCTCCCATCATGGTGCCTTCAGCTGTGGTTGTGTGTGTGTGTGTGTGTGTGTGTGTGTGTGTGTGTGTGTGTGTGGAGGAGGCTATACTGCATGGGGGTAGGAGATAACATATTAAACATTCCTCCTGTCTCCACCTAATCTAAAGCACCAGAGAACACACACAGCCGACCAAAGTCATGCATGTCTGTGTGTGGTTCTGTGTGTGTGTGTGTGTGTGTGTGTGTGTGTGTGTGTGTGTGTGTGTGTGTGTGTGTGTGTGTGTGTGTGTGTGTGTTCCTGGAATAAAGAAATGCTAATCTGCTCATTGAGTATTCAACAAACCAAATGTTTGCCTTGGGAAAAAAGCTCCGCTTAAGGGACTAATTACTACAAGTGCAGGATGTAATGTAGCTCTGCCGCTCTGCCTCTTTTTGCTTTCTCCTCCCTTCACTCGGCAGACATACGCCTTTTTTCTACGCTCATTTTGAGGTTTCTCTTTCATCAAATTCCTTCTTCCTCTTTGTTCCATTTCATAAATGTCAACTAGATCCGAGGATACTGAGGTTATTATTCTGGTTCTACTAAAATGATATTCAGGGGATGAGCAACATGTCGGAGCTCACACTATTTATGTGATAATCTCTTAAATTGTGAAGTAGATTAAATCACATAGGTTTAATGTCTTAGCATATTTATAGTATTTTACATCTTAAACTCTCTGTACAAACCAGTGATCTACACTGTGACTTTGTAATAACAAAAAGTGGATGTTGAGTTTGTTGAATAAATCAGAAACAGTATTTATTACTACAGTTAATGTATCAAATTATTTATGAACTCTTAAACTGAGATTGTGTTTTTAAATTGTTCGCTGCCGCCATGAAGACAGGTATCATATACCAGTCTTCATTTGTTTTCTTTGCACATGATATAAAATATCGGCCTTCACCCGCTGAGACGTGTGCTCAGAATGAATATGAATAAAGATGTCTGGTGTGGGATGTTGAAGACAGGAGATGAAATTTCTTCCTGTGAAATTAAATGATTCAAATTGTAATTTGTATCCCCTTTAATCTGAATCGAAAGTTGTGTACCTCATGTAAAAAAAAAAAGCTGATATCTTAAGAAACCCTGTTAGGCTAAAAAGTGTGAAAAAAGATACGATGCAGTCAACACATCAGTCCATCAAAGGAACAAAAGAAAAGTCTTACCTTGACTGAGTCTCTATCTGAGGGGGCGCAGAGAGGTGAGAAAGAAAAGACTGATTAAGACATTAAGTGTGTGTGCAATGAGCACAATAACGACAGACGAATGAAAATACACACACACTCTCACTCACACACACACACACACACACACACACACACACACACACAAACAGAGAGACAGGGGAATACAGCTAATGACAAGTTGACACTGGCTTGATTACATCTGATTCCAGCTCAGACTTTCTTTTCCTGTTTATCTTGTCAGCTACACTTTAATACTTTAAGTGAAATATGACACAGAATGGTCAGAATGCAGTAACTATATCTGCCATAACACCTATCTGCACATCACTAGCTTTGTATTTATTGCCTAATGCTTTGAAGGTAAACATATAAGCGCTCAATGTCACTGTTGAGAGTATTGTCCATAATGTATTTGTAAATGAAGAAGCCAGAGGCATGAATGAGATAAAGAAAGTCACCAATATGAAAAGAAAACAAATCTATTTAAAAAAGAAAAATGTGAAACCAATTATTCTCCACATTTACTTCTTGACAGGAACTTAGAAAGAGTTGAAATTGATTTTTTTGTTATTGATCGAGCTCCTCATGGGGGAAGGTATTACAGGAGTTAGCGGCTGTTAGCTTTACTGCAGCTACAGGGCAAAGTTAACTACTCCTCTGCAGTGTAAACACTCACAGTCATGCTGCAACAGAGTAATTAAGAGCTGGCACACACTGTTTCTGTCGCACGCACGCGCACACACACACACACACACACACACACACACACACACACACACAGTCTGTATGTGCTGTAATTAAACGCTTGAACACAAAGTCAGCTCGGAATAAATAGAGGTGTACTGTGTGTAGCAGAGAGAAGTGGGCAGAAGTGGTGGTTGTGCAGCGCTCCTTATTAGGCCAATCAAACAGGCATAATGACAAATCAGGTTGTAATTACGTTGACTGCTGTTCATTAAAAGTATCATTAATAACTCTGAATGAGTTTTCTAGACATGTTGAATTAGTAGGGGGTCATTAAGTGAACAAAAAGCTTCCGTATGCATTTCTATTACTCATCTAACTGTGGATGATATAAGAAAGTTATTGACATGTCATTAAGGTTGGTTGTGTTGTACGATATAATGCAGAAAAATACATAACTTTTCTGTATTTTAATTCTCATTATCACGTTTTCTATTGCTCTCTTTTTTAAGGCCAGCATTAAAGGCAATGGATTATTACACACTATTTAATGCAAAAGTAAAGCAGAGACTTGTCACTGTTTCCACATGAACATGCGTCCTAAGAATCACTGCAGTAATGAAGATGCCAATACTTTCAAACACATAGCACGTCAACAAACAGAGAGCAGGCGTACCTCTCTGGTGTTCGCTGTTGTTGTCATGGTGTTTCCTCTCGTCTTTGAGCGGCAGCTGGTGGCTCAGGGCCGAGGACAGAGCCAGCAAGCTGGCAGTGCTGGCCCCGGGGGGCAGGGGGGGCTGCAGTCCTGCTGGGTGAGGCGTGAGGGGGACAGGGATGGCGTGGCCATGGGAGAGGTGCTGAGCTTGGAGCTGCTGCTGCTGAACGACAGACGCAAATGTTAATTCATGTGAAGAAACGTTTCGGTGTGGAGGCAAACAGAAAGGAGAACTGAGGAGCAGAGTTGACAAAATAAGAGCTAGGAAAAGGGAACAATATTATCCATATCATAATATCAGATGATTTAATTTATTTTAATATATCTTGACAATTTATGAAGTGCCCTTAAATCTCAAAGCCTCTAGACACCTAAATATGTGACAGGCGTGATGAAGGCAAGTACTACAAATACAAAGGAGAACGGAAAAGTTTTCCTTTCCATTTACACTGTTTAGAGGCACCACAGTTTGCAGTAAAAGTGTGTGTGTGTGTGTGTGTGTGTGTGTGTGTGTGTGTGTGTGTGTGTGTGTGTGTGTGTATCTATGTCAGCATGTGTGTAATCCACCCACTCCTATGATGGCGTTAAGTTCAGCCATAGTGACCTGTTTGGCCCTCTCCACCGCCTGCACCACCTGCTGCTGATGCTGAAACACAGATAGACAGAGACAGAGTAAAGACATCTGAACAGAATGTGAGAAGGAGAAAAAACATCTGTTAAAAATGAGGATTACAACACCTGTGGAAAAACTCAAGAGTCTACAACAACAGTTGTACAAAATATATTCCTCATAAACAATTCTTTACGGTATATCAACGAAGACAACTTGCACCCCTGTTCACATCTGTTAGTATTATTTTTTTAACTCGACTGTATATAAGAGATGCTTTTCAGCCTTATGTACATCAGTCTCCTTTTTTCATTTTATTTGTATTGAGGCTGAATAACTGCTAGATCAAAGCTGTCAGTGAGCCGCACACGATAACATTACAGAGATTTGGTACAATTATTTTTTTTTCAAACTTAAAGGGTAAATTAAAATTACTAGTACTAGTTTGGTCATGTGTGACTTTAACAGAATGTTTGGTTCCTTCTTTTCAGGGAGCTGAATTTGGAGGTCCTGTGGGGAAATGTTCACGATCCATGTTGGCTAATATACTGAACAACAAGTGGCCAGACATGTTTTAAACACCGACAACATCTTACAGAGAAGCCCAGAACATGAGACATCCTTACAGTGATTATTCAAATGATGATGTACTCCATGCGGGGGATAAGACTATATTTTTTTTTACTAGTGGGATAATAAAACACTTTCCATTCTTCAGCTTTTTTTGCATTAACAGTAATCATAAATTCAAAACTGCCTTGTCTTGTTTTTTCCCCCAAACATTTCAAATGAGTGCAGCTGCAAATGAATCCAACTGACTGAACTGACATACTCGTGGAGAGAGGTAGACAGGTACCCGGAGAGACAGACAGCAAACAGACAAAGTCATCCAAAGGGTACAGAGTGAGAGAGACAGATCCAGACAGTGAGCGAGAGCAGAAAGATTCATCCAGGAGCGCAAAAACATCAAAGTAGGGCAGAGATGAAAGAGCTTATCCGGTGTGGAAATGAACCTGAGCATCGAGTTCAGGTACAACCACTGCAGGCCGAGTCCAACCCGCCTGAACGTGACTCACACATGAAAAGATCCATGTGCCTGATGAGTATTGGTCAAAAGCTTTCATGTCTTCATCGTCAATTATTAGCATATTTGTAGAAAAAGGACGGAAATAAAAATCAATATCCAATGATTTTTTTTTTTTAATGTGTTTTATCTGTTTATAATTACAGGTGGGATTGGAAGGTTGTTAACCCCTTAATCTCTCCTTAAACGAGGTAAAACAACTGGTCAGCTAGGTTAGTAAAAGTTAATGTGTCTTCTTATCTGTTAAATTATAAAGCTGGACTATGATATCTCTAAATTCAAAGATTTGTTGAAAATCTTCTGCCTCCCTGCCATCATTGCAGTGGGTTACTTATCAACACATACACATATTTCAAAGTTATTGCCTCAAATTATTTTATTATTATATGTCAATTTATTGCCTAATCCTTTTAAAGTAAACATACGAGCAAGTGGTGAAAGGGTCACTAATGTGCATAAGAAAAAAGAAAACCTATTTTAAAAAGACAAATGTGTAAACAATACAGGAAGATGCCTTCAGTAGGTTTAAACGTAAGAAGCTATCTATCTAAGTAGTTAAACAGACTCTCGTTCTTTTCCTCATTAGAGGTGTAGAATTAGAGTTTGTCAAATGTTATGGGATGAAAACAAACGTTAGATACTTTCTAACTTCGTTACTGCAATATGAGAGTGCTCCAAAAGGTTCAATTAAAAAATAAATAAAATAAAAAAAGTGATTGACTCTCGTTTAAACATTTACTCACCAAAACTGTAACATTCGTCTAGCTAAAATATATAATATTTAATAGTACTGGTGCAATTACAAGAACATCTATATTTCCATATGACAGACTAGAAACTATGTTTTTCTTCTAAAAAGGACAAAGGTGAATAACTATATATGACTACAAACATGAGCATACTTTAGACACAATCATGTTCTTATTTAAGAATTATCCAGCCAAAGAATGAGCTTAACAACACTTTTACCCAGGTTTTAGGAACAACTTTGGTTATTTGAAATTTTGATGCACTGTAATGAGGCCACAGTTTAAAAAGTATTTACTGTGATGATAAACAAATTTATGTATGAGACATAATTCCCATACTTGTCCTTAAACAAAATCTGAATAATTACTGCCGACTGTAGGTTGACAGAACCATCACCATGTCAGTGACAACATTGCTACTGTCAAACACATTTCCCTGCTGCAAGAAAGAACAATGTCAGGAAATGACAGAAATAAAAATAAAACAGTGCTCTCCCACAAATATACACAAACATTGGATGTGATTTGCTGCGCAGTAACAAAATGATTTGTTACATTTCATATGCACAGGCAGTAAACGAGGCTGTGCATCAAAACAAAGCAGTGAGAGCTGTTTCCTCTCCCTGCCTCCCCTCTCTGCGGGCCTCAGGGCTGTGTAGCAGCACGGCAGTCTAATGCCATTATTCCTAATCCACCCTAAACCCTCCTAATCCATGGCTAATCTGGAGGAGAGCGCTGGAGTCCACACACACACCTTCCTGATGTTCCCACCCCTCAACACACACACACACACACACAAACACACACACTCACACATGCACACTTTAAACTCCTCCAGAGGTAGGATTTATCTACAAAACACACACACACACACACTAAAGATTCCTCAACAAACACATTTCATCGGACACACTTCCCACACCCTCTCCTGACTGTGCACACAGTTAAGGTGTATTTGATGTGTTTATGTTGTGCACATGCAGGTGGACAGGTATACACAAAAACACAAACACAAAAAAAGACTCAAACGGAAAGGAACTTTCACACATGCACACACAGGAACACACCCGCTGGCTCCTGCATATGTTAGTGGGATACATTTAATAAGTTCAGAGCATATCAGCCTATCCTGAGCAGGGTGGGATTAGCCCAGGATAATCTGTGTGTATGTGTGTGTGCTTTGCCTCTCAATCCACCACACACTTCTTCAACTTCTTTGGCTCCTATCTGTCTACTTTCCTCCCTTTCTCTCTCTCTCTCTCTCTCTCTCTCTCTCTCTCTCTCTCTCTCTCTCTCTCTCTCTCTCTCTCTCTCTCTCTCTCTCTCTCTCTCTCTCTCTCTCTCTCTCTCTCTCTCTCTCTCTCTCTCTCTCTCTCTCTCTCACCCACCACTGTCTTAACTCACAGTGACAGGCATATTTTGAGTCTTACCTCTTGAGAGAGGAAGGGGATGACTTGGGCGCAGATTGCATTCAGCCGTTTGACGATCTCCGCCTGCAAGACAGAGAGGTGGGCAAAGAAAAAAAACACAATTTCTCTTAAAGAAGAAGCATTTCAAGTCAATTTTTATGTATGTTTATGTATAGTTAAGTCAAAACCCTGCATTATGGTAACGTAATGAATGGCTATTCATGTGAATCCGATGGGTTTCACTATGTGGTGAAATTACATTTGCTCAAAGAAACATCAAATATGTTGGGTGTTTATTTCGTGCAGGACGTTACCTGCACTTAAAGGTTCATTGAGGTGTTGCAGATGTCATGTTGCACTATTAGTTTCATTCTCTATGTGTTCTATCTTGTGTTTAAGGATGTACAAAAGAGTTTTCAATGGCATCATCTTTTTCCACTGATCAACAGGTGGCGTTAACATGCCAAAAAACGCGGCAACACGCCAGCTTCAAATTTTTCCTCACAAATGTTTTCGAAAGACAGTCGCAGGTTTGTTAATCCTCAAGGATATATCAAATAGTTCTTGGTGGGTGACATGAAGTGTCAACATAACTATGCTTGTTTAAAAGGAGAAACTTCACAAGGCCCTGTCAAACATTTTGATCAGAAAAAAAGACAGAAGTAGCAATGGCCATGAAAAGAACACTTTTACTTTTCCATGGAAAAGTGCAAGAAAAACGTCAAAGTAATGCCCTCCATCTTTCAGTTAAACTTTGTGATTGATCAGTGAAAAGAGAACAGACAACAAAGGAATAAGATACACTGTCACCAAAACAGAAAAAAGAACTTGTAGAGAGTGTTCTCTGAATTGACCGACAGTAAAACAGGTTGTATAGGCTAACCACAGAGGAAGACAAGCTTAGATCTCATTCACTAACTATTCTTAAACAGCAAAGGTGATGCTTGAATCTAAAGGTTCTGCTTAAAAAGATAATAAATATTAGATATATTGATTCAGTTCATCCTCGCAAACACCAAGTATTTTCTGGTGCCTGGATCAGATTTTGCTGCTTTTGAAAAACGCTCAGAGAGATTACTGACTGAACAATGAACTTGGTTGTTTGGAAAATATTTAATATTTCCATGAATACTAAACATTAAACGTTAACTTCAAGACAGATCATCTTTTGTATCTCACAATGACTTCACCACTATTTGGGCGGTCCAAGAGCCGATTATTGCAAACAGCTTCAGTGTTGAGGTAGGCCAATAATAAAATATACATTTTAGTAAAGGAATTCAATTAAACTATAGAACAGATTAAGTTAAATTTAAACAATTATATTTCTAAGTTTAACAGTTTCACCATAACATCGTGAATGTACAAGAGAGGCCTGATGCCTGACTTTCTAAACTCATATGTCAATATCAGTGTTGATTTTTAAATATGCTACTCAGCTTCACCTTTTATCCTTCAGTAACACTTAAATGTTACCTTAACTCTGCACTCTGTGAAAAATAAAAAATCAGCATCACCATGGTGGATGATTTACAAACATAAAAGCAATAACAACTATTAAAAAGGGAAAACACGATGGATTGAACGCTCGCTACTCGCTTATAAAACAGCGACAAAAACGATCCTCCTTACCTAAATTTTCTCATCCAGGTCTACACTCCCTCCCCCTCCCACTACGCTCTGCCAATGTAAGACGTCTGATCCAAACTTCACAACAAGGCCCTAAGTCTCCAACTAGACTCTTCTCCTCTGTCGCCCCCCCCCCCCCGGTGGTGAAACGAACTTCCAAACACCATTCGATCTGCAGAGTCCCCTTGCACCTTTAAGAAAAAGCTAAAGACCCTACTCTTTCATGAATAGCTATGATGATGATAATGATGATGATAATGATGGTCATTGTTTGATAATGACTTTATTTAGGATGGTTTAGATGCTGAGCTGTTGATGTTGTGCTTTGCCTCTGTGCACTGCCCGTCAGCACCCATGTGTACGATTAGACTTAAAGCTGTTTGATTGCACTTACTGACATTGTTTCTTCTTTTCTAGATCCTTGCCTGTGTTGTTCGTACTCTGATGTACATCGCTTTGGTTAAAAGCGTCTGCTAACTGAATTGTAGAATTGGATTGAAATAATTCCTCAAAGTCTGACACAAATGCAGAAGAAGCTTCATATGTAACCTCGCCTTGGGCTTATTTGTTTGTGTATAACCTTGACAGAGGTCAACTTAGCTCTGATATCAGAGGAACCAGACGACCCCAGAGGCTATAGGAGAAAACCCACCGATACAAACTTTTCAGACAGGAGCACAAGCAACACTGGATGCAGGTTGTTACACATAAACACAACCATGTGCACACACGCACAAGGACATACACACTTTCACAGGCCTCTCTGTATTCATCAGATGTATTTACTGAACCCAAGGGTTGGCTTTTAAAGATTATACGGCACTCTCTCTCCCCACATCAGGTAAGATTTTTTTTTTCTACAGGAAATTGCCTGATCCACTGTCCCAAAGGGAGTGCTAGTAGTTCAACTCAAATCCAAAGACAAACACAGACAAAAGACTGACTAACACAAACACAATTCATCAAACACAGGGAGGCAGTTCACCTGCTTTATGTTTAAGACTACAACATACATACATGCAGCTGTATGACACAAAGGGTTTCTTCGAGAGAGAGAGATCACACTAACTATAAAAGTGGTGGAAGACTAAGCTTTGCCTGCAGAACCCCCAACTCCACAAATTATTGACTTGCAACCCCCACAGCATATTTTCCCTTGAACACAAGAACTACACAAATGTAAAGCTACAGGAAACAATGTATTATGCTAGTATGCTCTCACTTGTTCAGCCACCTTACTTCCATTAAAGCAAACAATTAACACACGTCTTCAGCTGATGTAACACCATCAAAAATACATCCCTTTAATCCTAACGTGCCAGACACATGCTTCAAATGTTACAATGCTAAATGAACACCTTTTCAGTGTTTATGTGAAAGTATTTAAAAGATATTGGTAGGAGGTTTTTGTTGTGATTAACAAAATACAAACATTTCCCTGATATGCCGAAGCTGTGCTCTATGGAAAAGACTGAGCGCGCACTCATGAATTTACTTCTTCTAAAAAGCTCCAAGAGGAGTTAAGTTGCTATTTGTTATATAGGATAGAAAGATGTGAACAAAAAAAGATGATTCTTAATGAAAGATTTGTCAACATGAGAGTACAGTCCAAGAAGGACTGTACATTTATTTTTAGATTTAGGGCCGTTTAATGGGGTTTATAAAGTTGAATGTTGGAAACAATTAGCAAGATTAGGAATGTGGTGGGGCCACAGTTCAGCTTGGATAAGTTCATAAAAACAGTTTGTTCACTGTTTACCTGTCTTTTCATTTGATGGAACGATGTACTTGCTGTCAATCTGACCACTACAGTAACATGTGTTATAAATTAAAATTGCTAGTCAGCTACGAGCAGCTAATGTAGCCTTGAGCGGCTTGCTTCAAAGAGGAGAAAGCTACATGAGTCTGCTAAACTCAATTCTCACCAATTTATATTCCGTCAGTGAAGGGGGAGGGGGGGAACAGAAGGCCAACATCAACTATGTTAGCAAATAAGAGGATCAGTACTGAGCTGTAGCCAGAAGGCCTTTGTAATTCATACAAGAACAAAACTGTTAAAAACTTGAGAGAAATTTAGAGAAACCCTGAAATGAGTACAACCTGATACAAGGACAATGAAACTAACTCAAGCACTCAAAGGTTTTGACCTCCAAAAGCAAGAAATAGTTAATTTCAGGGGTTTCACCTAACTGAGACCGCTAAAACCCCATTTGCATTTCTTTTGGAATGCTCTCCCATTGGATATCATCATTATGTAACAAATGTCTTACCAGCAGACACTGTTCCAGGCCTGCTCAGGCATGGAGATTGCAACACACTCTGCCGAATGGTACCCACGATGCATCAAAAAAATGCCCTCATCCAAGACGCTGTCAGAACAACGCACGAAAGAAGAAATCTTGGTGGCTAGACCAGAAGCCTTTAACAACTTGGCCAAGCTCCCAGAGGCTATATTGTTGTCAGACGATAGCCAATGAGTTTAGAGATTGATAAAGCTCTAATCTTTTTGTAAGAAAAGCCAATCGATCGAGAGGACTGTAAACAAATAAAAGGTCACTGATACAGCGCACTTCGACCCGGTGTTTAAGATGACTGTTTTATTAGAGATTTGAATATCTGCAATAAAAATGTATTTCCTTTACATACAAGCATACACTCGAATTACACACACACACACACACACACACAAGCAGGGCCCTTCAACACCCTCTACATACAAAATTGCAAAACATTATTATTACTCCCTGCTTGCCTGTTTTGTCTTTGTCTATGCTGTGCATTGTATCGTCGTGTCTCCCCTGTCTCCTACATACTTTCGCTCTTGTCATGTCCCTCACTTGTCTTGTATTGTTCTGCATCACCTAATTAAAAAAATAAATAAATAAATAAAAATGTATTTCCTGGTCTTACTAACTGTACAGTCCACTCATAAAGTAGACTGTTAGGTCAAGGTTGATAAACCTCAGAGGTCATGAATGTCACTGAATTTCTTTTTTCAGCTTGTCTGAGCAACTATTCGTACAGTAAGGGAGCTATTTAGTGTCAAGCAGATGGTGAACTCAATGGAGCTTTGAAATTCAACTTACCTCTGATTAACAGTGCAGCAGCTGCTTCAACTCCCACAGACAACCTAAAACACTGACATTTTCATTTTATATTTAGCATTTATCCAGGGAAGACTTGCTCTGCACACATGCCCTTTTTCAGCATGGTTCTGCTTCACATTCATACACATCAGGGAGCTGCCTAGTACATATTAGCCTCCGAGAAAACTCCAGTGTACTGGCTAGCTGGGGTTTAAGTGCCTTGTTCATTGCACCTCAGTATTACAGGAGAGGAAAGGAAGCCATGTCCAGTATTATACAGCTGGGAAATGAGTTGGTGACCCTCCACTAACACCAAGCTTTAAGAAGTGAATGAATAAAAAAGCCTGCTTGCTCCGGTATGGAATAAGG